CATTTAAACTGACAGTGTTGGTTCCAACTTGTAATAATTTTGATCTGAAAATACTGTAATGCAGTTTTCACTTAATATGTTTGGGATATATTCATAGAGTTCATACAACATGCACGCAAGTTTTGTTTTGCAACGTATTAGCGTGTTTTAATGAGCAAAACGCTGCAGGCCTTAAGTTACAAAAACAAAAACTGTAAATTAGCAACACTAAACATTGAACATTACTACACTAAAACTGTCAATGAAGCTTGGAGTAATTTATGCCAACCAACAGCTTTCTATTATGGCTTAGCCTACCTTGTTTCATTGTAGCTTGTAGACAAGACATGAAACCCAAATATGGCTAAGTTGCCAAATAAAAATAAAAAAAATCAGACTTTCAGCAACAATGATAATTTAAAATGTAACAATTCTAAGGGTGTAACTTTCTGTCCAACACACCTGTTTCCTGTTTGAACTAATTAAAGCACCTTAATGGGCACAGGTGCAATTCATTAAATTAACCAAAAATAAGGTCTACGTTTTTAAATGCATCTATAAAGAGCAAAGAAATCAAACTATAAAATATGGCAACACAATAATATATATATATATATATATATATATATATATGTTTAAATAAGTCAATATTACAAGCCTTTCATCACCTTGGAACGAGGCGTTTTTGTTGTTTTTTTAAATAAAGGAAACATTTGATCATGACATACTATTTTGGATTTATTTATTGCAGTTTTGATCAACTAGTAACCAAAATACTATCAAAACATTTTCCATTTACCCCATTATTATTATTAGATTACCATTCATGTTGCCGTATTTCCAGTTTCGTTTCTGGTCCATTTAATTTCTACTCTATAAGGTTTTATCATAACTTTTGCTTTACAATCTTTAAAAAAAAAGTGTCTCAATTATTGCTGAACAAGTTTTATTCGAAGAATAATACTTAGTGGGAACATATGTCTCCATCTAGCCTAATAGTGAGCAACAGAACTCGTTAAATCGTTAAAAATGTCTTTCTTGCAGAGTGATTGTTCGTTTTAAATCAGTTTACAGGAAGTAAGAACGGCGTAATCACAACCAAAAGCACAAATAGGATCAATTTCAATTGAAGCAAAACAGTTTTATTAGTGTACACTGTAAGAAGTTGTAAATGTAGGATAGCTGGGAAGCCTATGAAGATCAGTGTTTGATGAATACATGAATTAATCTAACGGGCCGCGTTCTAGAGAGTATGCTGTTTGTAGCAAGCAGAGGGATGTACGGAAAACCTTTAAAAAAAAAGTACAGCTATAATACATCACAAGTGACAAGTAGGAACTCCACTTCCACCAGAAAACAAGCCGGTTTCACAGAAATGCACCAGAAAGAGGTTTTTTTTCTGGAATACACAATTGTCATCACAATAAGAAATACATGATCAGGATGAAGGAATGCAAACCTCACAATGCGTTAGTGTCCTTCACAAAACCTCATTTGGTTTCAGCTGTCCTCCCAATGGTCCAATCTAACCTAAAGGTAGCTCTCATTAAAAAAATAAAATAAAAAAAGAAGAATATACTCGGGCTATTGCTGGATCCTGTATGCAAAATGTAAAAAAAAAAAACACAACATTGTATATTTCATGACCAAGAATTGTTTTTTTTGAGTACAGTCCAAACAATTTAAAAAGTCAATGCATAGAACAAGTTGGTCATCAATGACACAACCTTAGTTTCAGCTCGTCAAGCAATGGCTGAACCAACAAAAACACAAGCTGAACAATGGTAGAGATAGAAAATATATCTTTGAATAACCTCCATTTCTTTTAATTGAATATAAACAACCTGGATTGATCTTGATGTGTTAATAGTGATCATCCTGGGTCAAACCAACAGATTCTGGACGAGCATTTGTTCTGAGTTTTCAGACGTGCAAAAGAGTACAAGTTAAGTCATCGATCAAATGTGCTTTCAGATTTTTATTAAATTCTGTTTTCTGCAGGATGCTGAACTAAACGTTCATTGAAATATTTTGTTGCTGATAAAAATATTTAATGCACTTTTTTTTTTTTTTTTTTGCAACAATAGTTAAAACAGAAAAACGTGAGGGGTTAGCATTCAAAAACAAATTAGAAGAAGCAACACACAACATCTGGAATGTGATAGTATGAGCCAAAATGACTGTGGCAAGTACACACCGGGTGTAAAATGATGCGTATTCAGCCGCTCAACCCAGTTTTTCCTCGGACTATTCCGTCTGTGCGTTAATATTAAGCAAAACAAAAAATACTCTTACAAGTACAGAACGCTCCAACAAGATGCGAGCATGTGAACAACTCACGGTAAATTTACAGTGCACAATGATTTACAGGACAGCTGCAGTGCTGGAACCAGTGACAAGATTTTAAATTTGGGATACACCATATTGGATTTTTGGCCGATACATGTTGAAACTTATTGGGCCGATAACCGATACCAATATCGATATATTTCCCCCCCAGATCTACTTGAGACTACACAGCTTTCTCTGTTGTGGAATTAAAATACATTATTCTGCATGGACTTTGTCATTTTGACCTGCTACCAAATGCAGATTACCAAAAGGGGGCTGAAAATGATGCAACACTTGCATGCACATTCTCCTTTGGGATTCTCCACTTTCCTAGCATGCCATCAGATGCAGTTGCCATGGTAGCTGCAATGTGGGACCCTCTGCACTCTTGTGCATGAAGGAGTCTTTTTAAGTTCAAAGGTTTTGTCTATTGTGCCGTGAGACTACCGGTAATCATGCTAACGTCACAGGCTTATCATGTGACGTCATCATTTTGTGCTGGCACTGCAGGCATCCTTGTCACTGGGTTGTCCTACTAAAACAGCGCCATATATATGTGTGTGTGTAAAAGTAAAGAGCCTTTTATATCGGTGATTTATTTTGATGGAATGTCCAATATTTAACTTTATCGCTAATATCGGATGATACAGGTACGATAATATCGTGCATCCCCATTTTAAAAAAGGATTTTTAAAAGTTAAACAGAATTCAAATTGACTCTCCAGTGTCTTAAGCTTTCTGAATCAATACCGACTGCTGGGCTACAATAATCAACACCGTTTTGCCCAGTTGCTGATTTATATTCTTGTATCGAAACAAAAAAAAAAACATTCATTTAAGACCTCGACTCTGTAACGACTGAGATATGAGACTGGTAATTCTTACAGCTGTTTAACAAGCCGAGTATACGCCCCAATATATAAATATAACGATTGAGCTAATAAAATTACATGTCTTTGGTCACACCCTTACATTTGGAAATTCTGGTAAAAACAATAACCTTTAAAAGTATCATCATTATTAATTGGTATATTTTAAAATTGTCCTTTGTCTTCTATAATTTAGGTGCCTAAGTTAGGTTTTGACATTTTAAACTGAAAAGGATGCGTACAATTATAAATGCTTTCAGTGGTGAATTCTAGGAAACTGTTAAATGTAAATATCAAGTCGCCATCGAGCTGTAAACAACTCCAACTGTAAAATGTAATCTTGATACCTAAAACAACAAAAAAAAAAAAAAGATTTTCAAGATATTAAATAGATTTGTATATAAAAAAATACTGTTAAAAAAATGTAGCTAAAACCTTTTTTGTAAAGAAAATACTACACAAGAAGCATAACTAGCTTTGGGAACACTTAAAATCTTGAATACTTTAAAAATACCAAAGTACAAGCTGGTTTTTAGATCAAACAGCTCGTAAATATCTACTGAACGTGTCACACCCTTTTTAATTGGGGCGCGAATCAAAAAAAATGGAAACGAGAAGAATTGTGTTGACTCCAAATGGGCTTTCCCACATTCCCATCAGAACAACTCAAAGCAGATTTAATGACGTTGAAGGCAACTTTTTTAGGGTGCATCATTTGGGGCAGTGCAAGTATAATATATAAGCTACTTCATAATTAAAGTCCCTCAATTTAGGACCTTTTCTCTCGATAAATTGTCTACATATGGGAAAACTACATCCGTTCTAAGGAACTTGTGCATTTTTAACAAAAGTTGGAATCTCAGTTAAAAGCATGTCTGTCAGAAAAGAGGAGGCGAAGTTGAAGCTTTGAGCGTAATTCTGTTGATTTCCAGGTCGTTCCTGTTCTAACGCGGAGGGTTGCAGGGACACGACTTTGACTCGCTCCATATTAATAGCAGTTGACTCGTAGTATGCAGTTTTTTTTTTTAACTTATCCATTAGTTGTCTGTGCTAGGTGTTTTGTTCAGCCATGACATACACCACAAACATGGTTGAATAGGTCCAACTTGCATTAAACACGGTAAAGACAGTTTTTTAAAATGCCATGTGTGTACATGTGACAATGTGATTAAGGACTACTTTAGTTTTATGAAGTTTCCCCATTAAAACTAAACACGACGCATTTTAGGGTAGTCAGGTATGATCACAGCAACACATGATGGGATGGGGTACAACGGGATACTTGGTCTCTAAATCCTAAAGAAAAATATACAAAAAAAAAACCAAACAAAAAAAAGAGTCATGCGCAGGTGTGAAGTTGACTTTGGTTCAACATAAAGCTGGAGTGGCAGTAGTTGGTCATCCATGTGTAAAAAGAAACATTCCCACCAAATCAAAGTCGTGCTGCGGTGATTATATAGTGACGAGTCAAGCTGAACTAGTGGTTGGACAAACTGGTAATACAACTAGGTCAAATGTTTGATCCCCAAAACTGCTATGGTGTCCCTGAGGACAGGAAGCCTCCATCCTGCTTCAGGCTCCTCCATTAGAGCCCAGATGTTGACTATGACATCACTCTCCTTCACTATTCTGTTATTAATATTGCAGGTAACACTTGGATTAGAACGCTGCGGAGATCAAGAACGTCACCCCGGCGTTGACCACAGAGCCACCGATGACATCTTTGACATTCCACAGTTGTCTGCGATGTCCGTTCCCCCCAGGTCCATTTGTAGATTTTTTTTAAAAGTTAGTACATTATTTAAGACTGAATGGTGGTCTCCTTTAGGACAAACTGTTTAACGTTGAGAAATGTCAGCATGGACTTTACGCGAACCTCTTTTGTTTAGGACATGCTGGAGCAGCGCACCGAGGGCGAACCCATCTGGGTCAGCACTTTATCCAACCACTGGAGGGGGCCGTTGAGATGCAGCTCAATCCAACAGGGAGTGCTGGTCACCGTCTGGCGTCTGCAAGAACAAGAACAGCATTGGAGCTCGTGCCATAAAGAACAAATCAAAGCATTATTGCAAACAGTTTGGTTAATGGGTTGGCAAAGCACAAAAAACTAGGAGAACAGATGCTTATTGGATAGTCAAAGAGAAACAGATGAATAAAAATAAAGTGTAGCACATATACAGGCTATAAAAAGCACATTAGGAACTGTTTTATAGTATAAAATGTCTTTCAATGAAGGGATTAACAAACATTTTGTAAGAAATGATCCTCAACATAGGTTCCACTTGCTGGTTTGTGGCTTGTGAAATGAAATATATATTTTTTTAACAGTTTTATCCTTTTTAGCTGCACATATATGTAGTGGAATATCTATTTTGTCTTTATGTAATTAAAAATACATGCAAAAAATAAACAAATTTCAAAAGCAATATGATTAAAATATGCAACCAAGATTAAATTTAAATGCACCTTTAATTTAGGAGTGCACTTTTCCCCATTCTAAACATTTCAATCCAACATCCACTTCAAACGATGGTTGTGCAACGATGACAATGAATAAACAGTAAACGTCTCTTATTTTACAAACTCTATCCGACTGATCTCATTTTTATTTGACATAAAGCTTTTAAGTCCATTTTTCTGTAGAATTTAGATGCCAAAAACAAGCAAATATTTAAATGTATGTTATAGCTGAAGTATTTTCCACAAACACACAAGTGAACAAATGATTATTAAAATGACTCGATTAGTATAAAAACAAAACAGCAGTGACAATAAATATGTTCGTGTCCGCTTTCTGTTCCAGATGTTTTGGAAGATCGAACTGGAGGACGATGCGAGGGAGTAACAAACCTGTACTCTGCTCCCCAGCCTTTGACGAAGCTCATTCTGATTGTGCACATTCTGGTTAGCTGGTACACCGCCTCAAAGCCCTGATTTACTGACTGGGCCAGCAGAGCTGCGAACTCCTGGTTGTTAAAAATCTTCAGATTACAACCTTAAAAAGAGAAAAGATTTGTTAAACGTGGACTAATAACCGCACCACGGTGGTTAACTCAGACATGTTCCACCAGCTGACGAGATCCTACAAACTAATGAACTAGGTTTCAGTAGTCCCTCGCTACTTCGCAGTTCAACTTTCGCAGATTCGCTCTTACGCGGGTTGTTCAAAACATGATGAAACACAATTGGCTGATTGATGGATGAGCTGCAAGATTGGCATGGGTTGCTTATTTAAAATAAATTATTTTTAATTATTTAACACCTGTGTGCAGCCCACAGGTGCAGGGAGAAGCTCCATCCTGCCTGTCATGATCTCCTCTGCCACACCCACATTTCTGCTCCATGCAACGATGGACTTTTGTCTTCAAACTCAAAATTAAAAGAACCATACTTGCCGCCGTACACGTCGCACCGCCGTTTTAAGTTGCATCCGTCCAAATATGTCTGATAAAGTAAAAAAAACAACACATATATGTTGCTTCGCCGTATACGTCACATCCATTATGCGTCACCGCTGACCACCTGGAAATATGTGGCCGGTGTTGTGCCAAAAATCAATTGGCTGCCGGAGCTTGCAAGGGAGGACTTTAACAACAATTTAACAAGAGTAACACTTAAAAACAATTAATCGTTTGCTCGAAATTATACCAAAGGTGTGTCTCAATTTTTTTTTTTCCTTAATAAATGCACTTTAATGGGCAAATCAGCTGCATTTCAAAAGCCGATACACGGCTGCGGGAGCGCGCAGAGGAACGACTCGCTGTGCGTTTCTTCAAAAATTTAACAAAATAACCATCTAAAAACAATTATCTGTTTGCTCAACATTATAGTAAACGTGCGTCTCAGTTGCACTTTTCCTTAATAAATGCACTTTAATGATCAAATCCGCTGCATTTTGTCTGGATGACGTGGAAAAATGCAGCTGATTTCACATTTGCTCCAGGAGTTCTGGAGCAAGACGAAGGTGGCTTGATGAGGCAAGACAAGAGTCCCATTAATAGCCACTTTTACTTATTAATGAGACACTTGGCTTGCCATATAACTAGAGGGTCCCCTAGTGGCTGAAAATGGTAGTGTTCAATATTTTCCATGTCAGAATGAATGAAATCGTCAGATCTCAGCCAACAATTGGGTTATAAATATGGGGAAAACACAAACGCGTCGCTTCCATGTATAAGTCGCAGGCATGCTAATTTATGCAAAAAAACTGACTTATACAGCGAAAAATACGGTATGTCACATCGTAAAATCGTCATAATCACAAAACAGAAAAGTGTTAAAAGTTATTTTTAATTATTTTTGAACTTCTACGTTCAGTTGTTACAGTGCAATTGATCAAGAAGTGCATGTCTGCTCCGTGCTGCATCAGCTGCGTGAAGGGTTAACCCTTTGCTGCAATAAACAAGGGACTACTGTGCAACCATTTGTCTAAGCATGACAGACAACTTTAGAACGGTTGATTTTGTCTAAAAGAAAAATAAAAGACAACTAAAAAGAGGTGAAGCAGTGTAAACAGTGGGTGTACTGTCAGCGGTCATTCTCCAGAAGGCTTACAAGCAGCTACGTCAGTAAGATCCTTGTGTTTAGTTTGCATGCTATTCTGTACCTCAGTAATGATACTGTTCACACAGCTCATTTGGCCAAGAATTCAATGTTCAAATTCACATGGGCACAGATGAGTCAGCATGTGGGCGAGTGTGTGATAAATACTGTCACATCGTGGAGCTTCTTTTCAAGCTTGGCTTTATCTGCATCAGTTTGGGAAAATAGGGGGCAATGCACTGGTTATAACAATCGCCTCTCGGTGACACCAAAACCTTGCACGTTAGGGTTATTGGCATCTCTAAATTATCTCCAGGTGTGGGTGAGAGTGTCAATGTCCGTTTGATTTTTGTCTCATTTGTTTCTATATGTCCCTGTGACGGACTCGTGACCTGTCCGCCTCTCGTACAGTAACTGCTGGAGATACAACCAGCTTCCCGCAACCCAGAAAAGAGAAGCAGGTAAAGAAAATGAATGGATTGATGGGGGGGGAGGCGTGTTTGCAACAAGTGAGTGATTGAGTTTTGTTCCTTGGTAATGATTTTTATCACATTTGTTCGAGCCACTAGAGCATTTAAAAACAGAGTATAATTTAATTCTCAACATTTAAAAAGAATTAAAGCTGGATTATTAAAAGAACCACTATTTATGCATGTATACAAACCTGGTGGTATCTTGCAGACAGTGGCTGGGTGCCAGCCATATCGCTGGTTGCAGTTGGGACTCTGGACAAAAATGGCACTGTCACTGAGGCACTCTGCAAAAACCTCCCCGCCGATGTAATACAACCTAACGCCACGACCTGCAGAACCAATAAATAATCATTAAAAAGGGAGATTAAAAACGGTGAAACATCAGTGTTTTTTGGAAGAATTGTTGCGTTGTTCTTAAGCTTTACATTTTTTTTAGCTCAGCGACAAACCGATCTGAGAAAAAAAATAAAATAAAAATGACGATTAAAACACCTATATTTCAAAGACGTACCTATATGTCGCCTTGTCATTTCAACAGTTGCATTTCTGTTAACGTTGCTGAGAAGCCCTAAACAGAAGCGTTCAGAGTTGGAAGGGTCGGTGAAGCCGTCGACGGTCAGGGACGGCTGAGAGGCATGGAACGTCTCTCCGACACGCTGGTTCAGTTCATAGTAGGCTATAGAGCACCAAAAGGCCGGTTCACTGTAGGTGACTGGCTGAAGGTCTGAAAAACAAATAAAGATAAAGTTTTCTCAGACCTGTAAAGCAACTTCAGAAAAAAAAAGTAGAGAAAGCACAAAAACAGCACCCGATCTTACCCAGGCCGTGACTAACAGGCGACAGGTTGCTGGGTGACATTTCTGCTGGTGAGCCTGATAAGAAAGCAAACATCTGGTTGTAAAGCGTCATATTCAGTAACACTTGGATAAATAGTTTATGTAAACAGTAACAAGGTTAAGTTGGGTCCTCTGGATGGATTCTTCTTGTTAAGATTTGTTGTATGTTATTTTAAACACCAGCCCAAACCCACAGCAGTGAGATAATCTACCTGATTCCATACTTTGATTCATTTGCTGGTCATTGGTCTCTCCATCCTCACTCATGTAGCCAGGTGGAGGAGTGTCTGCAAACAATAAATACATATAAAAAAAGACAATAAACAAGAAAACAAGACAGAACTGTATAGGAGGTAGGTATGTTTTCTGGCAAGTATTGGATGTATAGATAATAAATTGCTCAGTGAAAAAGCCCCTTTGAAGCAAAAAAAAAAAAAAGCACTCTACTCTTCTGTTCATTTAGTATTAAATCTATACAAGAATCAAATGTTTTCTTTCTTGTAGAATCACTAAAAAGTGATGATCATGTTTTAATTGCCTAACGTAATCATTTAATATTCAAAGAGACACCTCAGAACCTCCTTTCCACTCAGCGTGTTTCTAGATTAGCCAACAAGAGGCAAACCATAGGATACGGCATATTTTTCCTGCTCACATGGGCAAGGATGGCAAAGTGAGAATAATCATCGAGCTAAATGTCCTTAAGTCCAACACACTAGAACATTAAAATAAGTTGAGATAGATAAAGACACAAGCAAAAACATTAATGTGACCAAAAAAAAAAAAAAAAAACTTCCCCTGCCCTGTATACAAACCTGGTATGTAGTTATTAGGAGGATCGATGCCTGCCGGAAAGTTGGTGTTTTCAGGAATGGAGTTCATAAGGTCATCTAGAGGCGGAAGCTCTGTCAGAATCTCTGTGTGGCGCGGCACCAACACTGGAGGCAGTACTAAATGGAAAAGTAACATAATAAACAACAACAAATGGGACTCACTGTTCATTTAATGCAACATGCACTTAATATACATATGGCTATTCATAAAATGGGCACATTTAGACCCGCTTCCTGCTAAAACTACACAAGACTCCTAACAACTTGAGACAATCCTTTCTTACTGTATTATGTTATCAAAAGGATGTCCTGAGAACTATGCCCAACACACACAAACACAAACAAGATTAAAAGAAACAATTCTCAAGAATCATTACCAGGTGTCTCTACTCTCTGGTAATGGTAGGGATTGACACACACTTCATCCTTTTTAAGGTTGAATGCATATTGACATGTGTCAATAGCCCTCAGCTCATGGTGGCTGTGAAGATCCGGCCATCGCCACAACCGGCAGTAAATGACATGGGGCAGACCCTTACGATGAGACACCTGAAGACGCCCATCTAGTGACCTGAAACAACGAGGAAAAAAGATGGCAGATAACTCCGACATGCATCAAAGTATACAAAAACAAACAAACAACAACTTCGATCCATTTTGATCAATACCTAAAGATGTACTGCTACGTTTCTGATTTAATTGCATGTAAGTCAGCAATATATATTTATGTCTTTGTTGGATTAAATATTAAAAGTGATGGCAATGATAACATAACACAAGTGATGACTTTATGGCAACGAACATAATAAAGAAAAAAGACCGGACAGCTGTTGACACTTATACTACAGATTGCAAAGTGACATATAACCATGAAAACAAAATGTCTCAATTACTTTCTGCTGCAGACATTGTGCAGGGTAAAATGAATAGATGCATGCTCCATAATCCAACAAGGTTGAGTTAGGTTCTCGGGACAGATTCCTCTTTGTTGGAATGATTTATCTTTTATCCAAAAGACAGTCCAGAGGGCCTGACTCAACCTTGTTAGATTAGACGTATAGTGATAATGCATTTGAATGTATTCACCTGCTGTGGTCAGGGTATCCGTACATGCCTGCAGAGTCCCACTGCTCTATCGTATGGCCTGAGCCTAGACCCCAAAGTTCTGAGCAATTGCTACAGACACACACAAACACAAAACACACAAGACAAGTGCAAAATAATGATCAAAATAAAAGCAAACAGATGGTAAAACAGGTGTTTCAACTTAAGATAAAGTCACAGATGTGTACATTTGTTTTACCAATGACATGAAAAGCAGAAATATATTCTACCGTCTGCTTTTCACTTTGATGAAATGAATGATGAATGTGATGCATGACTGTGTGACAAATTCAAATCAGACAGACGGTGAAGTTGTGCAAACAGGTGAAGAGCAACTAGATACCAAATGCCAATCATCTTGTAAAAATAAACATGATACACTGTACCAGAATAGGTATATTATTTGAAATAAAAATATTTTATTGCTCTTTAATTAAAAACTAGGAGGGAAGTAAAAAGTAAAGCCATAAAATAACTCGAACATCTAGGAGTGACTTTGTATTATTGTTGCAATGGCCAAAGAAATGCTTGACATTTAATTTTGATACAGGAAAAAGCAACAAAAATAAAATACCAACCCCTGAAATTCCTGAGTGCAAGAATATATTTTTTTAAACATTAAAGAAACAATTCACATTTAGGTATTTTTCTGATAAAACAAGTGTGATATGAAGAAGGTCACAAAGGACACGCACAACGATGGGTCAATGAAAACAAAGAAATAATAAAAATTATAAATTTGGCCAACTACAACATTTTTTTCAGCGCGTTAGCGCAGCCAAAAGGAGCTTCTGTTGTCTGATTAAAGTAACTGCCGTGCCTGCATGTGCACGACTTTCTATCTTGACACATCCACCTACACAGAGCTCTGCAGCTACAAGTGCAAAGTGTCTCACTAAACATAGATAATCTTTCGCCCAGTGCCTTGCTCAGTTAAAGATCAAGAATAAAAACCACTCGTCAGCCCGTCAAAAGAAATCCGTGCATGACTCTGAATATTCATCTTAAACCCTGTAACTCAACTGTGATGAAAGCTAGGAAGCAATCGGTGGTTCACCTGTGAATCCATTGCAATTACTTTTTGTAAAACAAGGTTTAAAGTATTATCTTGTCGAGAAGCAAATCAGATGTTAATCACTTCTGAAAAAGCTGCTACGGCTGCCTCAGTAACAGGCAGTGGGTGGAGATTTCACCGTCTACTCATGTGTCCGATACAAAGATTACCACAAAAAAAAAAAAAATCCATTCCCATTTTCGCTATAAGACCTAGAGCTGAAAGCACCTATGCACGTGTAGTGTTTACCTTGTTTTATTGTCATACATGTCGAGGTTTATGGATTTTCCTCCATTTTTCATGACTACAAACGTACAGAGAAAGTGTTATGGAATGTTAAAAACTAAATTTCAAAATGTATTTTGTCAGGTTGCCCCCTCCACCTCCGCTACTTAAGACTGTATTTGTTTGTAGTTTGAGCCAGCATGCTTCTTTATATTTATTTCATTATATTAAGGAATTTTTTTAATGCACAGAGTTAACTTTGTCCCTTGTATTTGCAATGAAAAAGACAAAAGTCTAATAAAACCCATCAGGGATCATTACATATGTGATAACTAGATCTAAGAACTACATTTGAGAATGTAATTAAATTTTATTTCTAATTTAATCTGAGGATTATATTTATTTTATTTTTTTTGTAGAGGGATAATAAAGGTTTATTCAGATTTGGTCTGCGGGCCTCGAGTTTGACACCTTTGCTTTAGACTTTATGAACTAACAGAACCAACAACTGGGCATACAGTTATATAGAGAGGTGGAAGAGAAATCCCATTTTGACTGAATATTATAAGCAGAGTAAACATTAGCCAAGTCGAGAAAACAACAATAAAAAGTCTACCAATGTGAATAGGCCTGTCACGATAACAAATTTTACTGAGCGATTGTCTCAGAAATTATTGCGATAAACGATAATATTGTTTAAAATTTTACAATTAGTAATTATTGTAAAATTCAAAAATAAATGTTTTCTATTTATTTTGCATGTAGTCCCTTTTTCCAACCACCGGATGGCAATATAAGACTGTTTGAATTGAAGGATGGATACAGAGGGAGCAAGCAGCGTGTCTCTAAGAAAAATGTGAGAGAGGCGCTTTGGAGCTTTGACAAAACGGAGGTTTATCCCTGAGGTCGGCCTGTTAGCTCGTAGCTTAGCTTAGCTGCTTTTAATGATCCAAAAACATGATTTTGGATCATTAAAACAGATTTTAAAGAGAAAAGAAAAAGGGAGGTGTCAGTGACGAGCACCGGCGTTGAGCCGTGTCTTCAGTAGAAAGAGACACGAAGAAACGATAAAGCCGATAAATGAAAACGAGGTCAATAATTTTCATTCATCATGTGATTAATTGATTTATTGTTTATTTTGACAGGCCTAAATGTGAAACACCTGCTGGATAGATTAAATTTAAACAAACTTCACCGAGAAATGTAAGGCGGAGTTTCCTACAGGTGAGTGAAAGTAACGTTATTCTGCAAAAAAAACAAAACACCTTTTTCCCTCCTGTACCTTTGTCTCTTTCTTCCTCCTCTACAAAACTGACTGCTGCTTCTGATTATGACTTCATAACTACTGTCATGGCTGTGATATCGGTACGACATGTTCATTAGTGATCAGCGTTCAAACAGTCTGCCTTCACCAACGTTTTGCCACACGGAACATCTATGTGCAATTGTAAATTGTTTATGTTGAGAAACTACTACAGCTTCCTACTCTGAGCCATTAGACTCAAAATGTTGTTGAGAAGACTGCCGCGGTCTGCTATCTCCACTTACTTTATATGTCATTTCCTACCTCCACTCAAACAGAAATGTACAAAGCTCTACACTTGTCATCACCTCACAGTCCTTTAGATACCCTTTGACATCTCCATCCTGTAAAAGACAACCAGAAGACAATAACCAGGGCAACCGATCTTAATGTTTATCAGTCAAACCTCCTTGCGTTCAAAGGGAAGTGAGCTACGCATCAAAAGCCTGGATTACCCTCTGCTGAATGCTGTTCTTTTAACTACTACATCCTGATCTTAAAAGAAAGGTTAACTCCACCATGTCGGGGGATTTTTCCCCAAGTCACCATCAATCCAGAAACACTTGTAGTGGTCATAAATCTTTAGTGCATTTACCATTGTCCTTTTTGCAGCACAAACATTACAGATATGAACAAACCCAAAACGAAAGTCATATGACTGAACTCGAGGAAAAACAAGTAGTTACTTACCCTGAAACCAAGTAAAACAAAAACACTTAATTCTTACAACTGACAGAACAGATGTATTGAAGTCACGTTCTTCTTAGGTAAACACCAAAACCTATACATTTTAAGTACCGTATGTAAACAAGTGGTACGCAGATGTCCCGTTACTGAAGAATATAAATTGTGAATGTTTGTAATTTACAAGACAAGATTTTCTGGACTGGATTTGAACAGGTAAAAGGTTTATGTCGGCTGCTAACTTCTTCAGGGGTTGCCACAGCAAGCGAACTTGCATGAAAGAGTTGGCAATGTTTTTACGCTGGATGCCCTTCCTGACACAACCTGGGGTCAAACCTGCAACCTCAGGATTACAAGAGCAAGGCACTGACCACTGAGCTACAGCAGCCCCTTTGGATTTGAACAGGGAACACAAGTTTTTTCATGCATATGGCGGTGGCCACCTTGGATTTTGATGTGGCATCTTAGTTTTTGATGGGAAACTTTCTAACACATGAATGAAGCCACACACCAAAAACGAAGTTTGCCCGTTGCTTATTTTTCAAGTTATCCAGCTCACAACTTTTATATACAGGTGCATCTAAAAAAATTTGATGATGAAAAAAGTTTTTTGTCTGTCATTTCAGAAAGTGAAACTCATTACAAAGAGTGGAATATTTCATGCCTTTATGTCTTGTAAATTTGATAATTGTGGTTTACAAATAATGGGGAACAAACAAAAGGAAACTAATAGATTACATAGCCAGCTTTTGGTACCTCTGGCAATGTAGGCAGGTGCCAAGTCCTGCTGGAAAATGAAATCAGCATCTCCATAAAGCTTGTCAGCAGAAAGAAAAATGAAATGCTCTAAAATGTCCTGGTAGATGCTGCGCTGACTGTGGACTTCAGAAAAGCCAGTGGACCAACACCAGCAGAGGACATTCAACCTTTATTTAGACATGTTAATCCCATTGAGCCTCTGGGACTCATTTACAAGAGAGACCTGGCACCCCAAATCATCACTGACTGTGAAAACTTCACACTGGATTTCAAGCAACATGGATTCTGGACCTCTCCACTCTTCATCCAGACTTTGGAACCTTAATTTCCAAATGGCATGCAACATTTTTTTCATGTGAAAAGAGGACATTGGACCACTGAGCAACAGTCCAGTTCTTCTCCTCAGGACAGGTAAGACTCTTCTGATGTATCTGGTTCAGGAGTGGCTCTACTTGAGGAATGTGACATTTGTAGCTCATGTCTGGGAGTTAATCAGCTGATTAGGGTGGGACACGAGGGGTTTACAATATTGAACCTATTCACAATATTCAAATTTTCCGAAACACTGAAGTTTTATGTTTTTCATTATATGCAAGCCATGATTATCAAAATTGAAACAAAAGCTTGAAATATTTCACTCTATATGTAATGACTCTATAATATGAGTTCCACTATCTGAAATGATTGACAAAAACAATTAACATTTTCCATAAAATTCTAATTTTTGGGGATACACTTGCATATGATGGCAGTTACTTTGAGTTTTAACCTGGCAACCCAATTTTTGAAAGGAACCTTTCATACACCTAGATATAACCACACACTAAAATGGAAGTCTATCTCACTTATTTTTCAAGTTATCGAGCTCACAACTTGTATGAACAGAGAGAAAAAGGGTATTTCCAATTCCCCATTTTTGCTCCACAACGGGGGATAACAAGGTCTGGAAACACACAAGTCTTAAATGGATTATCTTTTACTCTGTCAAACCTTTAAAAAGTGTCTTTAGAAGCCCTTGACATCCATTCATCATATGTATGCTCAAATTTCCTAATTAAGCCATCATACAGTTATGTACTACATAAACAAAGCAATGATGAGCATCTTTAAGTCACCTAGAATAAACAACTTTGACTCTCTGATGACTATAATTTATTCATTTGATCAATCAAATAATTAGCAACACAATGCTATAATGCGTACTAGTTTACTAAATGCAAGTTTGAGCAAATAAGCTAGTAAAAAAATGCACAGTACATGTTGAGAGGAAAACCAAATGTATTTTCAGCTTGCAAGTTTAAAAATATACCACTGTAATACAACATGTGGTATAATATCACACTAATCTACGATCAACTGGGAATGACAAAAATTAAATTCTAAAAAAGTATTCAGCTCATATTTATAACACTAAAGTTCAGTTGAAAAAGCCAAATAAGGTCAGCATTGTCTTTTGTGGACCTCATACCACCTTTAGAATACTTCAAAACAATAATACATACCATGGTAACTTTTGCCACTAAAGAAATTACCACAGACTGAACATCAATACCACTTCTGTCGACCCTGAACCTGGGACATGTCTTCTCACCTAACAAGCAGCTTGTCTGGTTCACAAAGCTTGTCCATAAAATATAAAATAGGTGAACACAATGCTGTAAAATTAAGTACCGGTACACTAATGGACTGTCTAGCCAGAAGCATACCAGATTTATCCAAATTATGATGGTAAAAATAAAATGTATTTTAATCAGAAAAATTTGTATTTTAGTGAAAAATGCCATGGCAAGTGAACCCACTTCAGATCACTATGCATATGCAGTAAGAATAGATTCTAACATTCTCTACAACAGACTACAAACATAAAATAATAAAGTTTTGCTTGTTTTTTTCCCCTCAAGACAAAGTTTCACACAGTATGGTATTTTGTTTTGCATACCCGAGTTCTCTGGCTACTCTGGTTTCCTCTCACAGAACAAAAACATGCAAGCTAGGTTACAATGTCCATTTGAGCGAGAACGTAACTGGTCGTTCATTGTTATATGGCCCTGTGGGTCCTGTCAAGGGTGTACACCGCCTCTCACAAGAGACCACTGGAGATAGGAACCAACTCCATGATCCATGGAAAAAAAAGCGGGTTTAAAGAAAACAGATGGAAAATAATGTTACAACCACTTTAATGTTTATCAAAGCTTTAGATTATGAGGCACACTTACGCTCCTATAGCTTCATACCCCCCGATCATCAACTCCCAATATCTAGTCAGGATGTCTTGCTTTTACTGACTCTTGTCTAACTATACCTCCTAAAACTCTGAGCAACAAGTTCTACAGATTGGCACATTTTACTTCTGCTTTGTTATTTTTTTTAGATCTGGTGCTGGCATGATATATTTTGCCAACTGCAGCAACCGAGATGAAGTAATAACCCAAACACCTACTCAGCAGCTAATACTGCTCGCGCTGGTGTCATGACATAATCAAATGTGTGGCAACAGTTACGCTGTAGCCCAACAATCATTCAGCACTTGCCTCGGAAAAGAAAAAAGGTTGATAGCGAAACCAAAAAATAAATAAATATTGGTGCTAATTTCAGAAACAATTATTGTTCTCTTTGCAGTCAATTGACATAGTTACAGTTACTAACCCACACGAGTAAAGTCAGGGCCCACAATTCCAATACATTCGTAGCCATTTCTGGTATTCAAGGTCGGCATTCAACTCTAGTTTTTTGGTTTTTTACTCCTCCTTTTCTTTTGACTTTAATAAATAAACATGTCTAATAATTGTTGTATTGGTATTTTGATTGTAGCGGAATGTCCTCAACTTGCAACGTTGCCAGAAGTTGAAATGACAGCAGAGCACAGCCAGACATGGGTAGATATGAGCACTGTTTTGACTAAGTGTATTAAAAAAAAAACAGAAGTAGGCCTGATGAATATATCTAGACCAGACCAGTGGTTCCCAACCATGCTCCTTGAGGAACGCCATCCCGTATGTTTTAATTGTTTCCCTGTTTTGCTACACCTCATTTGAATGAATGGGTGATTAACAGGTTGTAGAACTTAAGTAATTAAAATCACTGAATCAGGTGTGTTGGAGCAGAGAAACAACTAAAACATACAGGGTAGCGTTACTTGAAAACCAGGGATGGGAACCAATGAACCACAAAGCACTGCAAAATACCTACACCACTGAGCACGCACAAGATTAACTGTAAAAAGGTCCATTTCAGATTCTAATGAGCCAAAAGAAAAACATCACTTCAGACAGGCCTGATACACATTTGTTAATAATTATTATAGTATAAATAAATACCGTTTTTAATCAAGTCAAATAGTATTTTGGTAGATGTCACGTGTAATACATCTGTTTCCTCAAGTAAGGTTTCACTTCTGGTGCCTTCTGATGGCACAACACTATGGGGAAGCGGACCTGAAGTTGTGCAACATCAACTTTACTTCCTGTGACCGCATGCATGCCCAACAACCTTAACATCTATGTGGTTTTACTCACGCACTGTGTTGATCAAAACCAGTGCTATTGTGGCATACTGGTGCATACAACTGCAGATTGATTTGTATGAAAGTGTACTCTGGCTGCATCTGTGTTCTACTTTGTTAGTTTTCATTTGTACGTCCAAGCGGAATATTTAATAAAAACGCTGCATGGTTTGTATTTCCAACATCTGTAATGCGATAAGATTTTTATTTTTTTTCTTTAAACAAATACCTGCTGTGACGTTACCCCATTCTGTGAATGTGTCTGTATAAACATGCACAAACCGCCCCACAAGTGTTTTATCTCTCACCTGGGTATTGTGACACACTTTGTGTTGCTGTTCTGTGTGCTGATTGCTTTCTCCAACTCATCCAGCTGACCCGTCTTCTTAAGCTTCTTCACCAGGCTTTTAACCGCCTTTTCACACCACTTCTCTTCTTGTCCTCCATTCTGCTCCCCGACTCCTCCAATTCCTCCTCCTGCTCCTCCACTTCCTGTTGGAGTCTTCTTCCACCCCAGGAGGCGTTTGACCACAGGCGGAGTGAAGGGAAGGATGGAGGACATGGTGATTTGTGTATGTTTAGTAGATTCGGGGGTCTGGTGGCCCTTTAATTGTTATCAAATTAAAAATTGTGGAGGGACGTAAAGGTACCGGTAATATAGATGAAATAAATTATATAAACATAAGATATGTATATTTTGTTAATATTGTCACAATTAAAGCATTGGTCTTATGTGGTCCTGGCAAGTTTCTGAAGAACTGTAAGTGGGGAATGTAGGAAAAAACCTCCAAGGAAACCTAGAAAATGGAGAAAAACTGTATCAGTCAACATAGAATGAAAGACAGGAAAATTCAAAGAGCATCATGGGATTGTCTGCATAACATTTCCTTTTACAGCCTCTAAAGTATCAACTATGCCTGCACACATTGCATCTTTGCCACAAGCCACAGCTGTCACTTGTGTCACAGCCTGAAGATCACAGCAGCTTGAGAAACACCCACCCTGGAAGTTGAAACACTACAAACCCTACCCTGTGACTCTGAAGCAGGCACTAGATGTATTTTGTAAGCAGGGCCTCTTTTGGTTTTTAAATACTCAGTAGTACATCTCTCCCTTCTCAGCCATAACAATTCAATCTCCAAAGTGAGCAAAATTGCTTATAAAAAGAGTGTCCGGTCAACATGGAGAAACAAATGGTAAATGGTACTTATCCAGCGCCTTTCTATCTCATTAAGCTACTCAAAGTGCTTTACACTACAATCTACGCCCTCATGTACCTCCACACACATTCATACATCACTATACTAGATCTCTACAAAGCAAATTGAGCAAATCATTCTAAAGAGATTAATCAGTGCTTTAGATCATATCCATACGCCAATGGGACACGAAGAGGCAATGAGGGGTTCAGTGTCTTGCCCAGGGGCACTTCAGCATGCGACTGCTGGTGGAATTGAACCCTCAACTCTCTCATTGGAGAACAACTGCTCTAACCACTCAGTCATAGATAACCCCCCGAGAAAGGCATATACGGCATACATAATGTGATTCTGTAAATAAAAAATAGAATAACAAAATAGACCACATTATGGCATTAAACTGATTGTGATCAATAGAATAATAAAATAATTTTGTCAGACTCTGTACGACTTATGTAATTCCGTGAAGACATTCCTGTTATTCTATTGAGGTTAATTAAATTAGTCCTTTCACTTTTTTTTTTTCCTTTCTTGAATTTTTGTTTTAAGGAAAAGGAATAACACGCTACTATACAGTTTATTAAATGCACGTTGCACTACTTAAAAAAACATTGCAAGGCGGCAATTTCAGCCAAACATCTGGCTCCACAGATGTTGAATTTGCGAAAATCCTTTTGGAATCCCACTTTTGAAATATACAGGCTCCGATGCATTTGAGAAAATACAAATGTACCATTCTAAATAGTAAAAGATTAGGACCACCCTGTGTGCCAAATGTTTTCATACATCACTGAATAATAAGTGATGGTTATTTGCATTAAAATAAAGGGGTTAAAATTCTGGTTGGAAGCAAATTTAACCAGATCATACTTAAAAAAATAATAATTAACTACACACATTCTTGCCTAAACAATCTTATTTGCCTGTCATTAAAAGGTAGCAGCAATATTGATCAATGCAAGTATTTTGGATTATTGAGCATGGACTTTGTTATCTGATAGCTTATGTTACACTGAAAGTCCAAAATGTTTCTTAGAAATAAACACACTGGTTTAACCCTTGGACTTCTTACTTAAAATACAGAATTAATAGCTTTCTGATCCAACAGGTAAATACTTCACTACAGCCTTAAAAAGTACTCTGCTTTTTAAAACCATTAGATCTAGCTCGAGTGAATTGATGGGAAAAGGCTTGAATACAACTGGGATAATTAATCTAAAGACTGAAACACAAAAAAAGAGAAAGAACATCCTAAAATAACTAAAAGGGTTTTGTTTTGGAGGGACATGCTGACTGTACGTGGGAGCCTTCAAAGTGAATGTTGTCAGAGAAGCAAGAAGAAACAATGATACGGCTACAAAACAACTCAGCTCGACATTCTGATACAGCTATCAGGGTTTTGTGGAGAACACAAGCATCGCTATTTTGTAAGCAATGTCTGGTTTTGTGTGAGAAGCTCCGTGTTTGGGTTTCGTCTCTCCCAAGAACGTACTCGTTGATGGGAAGAATAAGCTAATGCTACTCACGGCGATCCAAAACAAGCCGTGGATGATGACTTTTGATTTAATTCACGTCAAAGCGAGGCCATTTTATTCTTGGGTGTCATTTGAGCACAGGCACAGGTAAAATATATGTTTCATGGGCCTTAAAACGACATGTAACCCGAACTCAATATTCACTCGCCACCGAAACGAGTACGAAAAAAAAAAAATGCTAACAAGCTTGCTAACTTACTGCCACAGACAAATAAACAGTTGCATATTCAGCCACTCGCAAATTTATTCGTTTTCGGGAATATAAATGCACTTACCTAATAGCTAGGAGAAGTAACGTTGAACACTCGTTCAAGTACCTATCAGAAAAACCTGATTGTTCATTTTAAAATGCACAGAGGGACTTGAAAACTATAATTTTCCCCCTCCGACTCGCCGGAATGATGGCCCCTCATTCATGACGCAACCTAACTTGAGTCGCTTCAGGCGAAATATGAACGTAAAGCGGCTCCTCAATGCCCCGCCTCTTCTTAATTTCTATTGGCTGATCGAGAGACGCCTCTATTCTATTGGTTTAACGTCATGTCTGTCATTCGTTGTTTAGCACAAAGGCATTTTCGTAATGTTTATTAGAAAGAGCGGTGACGGATGGCTGGATGGATGAATACATAGATTTTTACTACTCAGTATTTGATTTAGCTTAATATTTTTAAAGACAGCGAGCTAGAAGTCTGAACACACAATTCTGACTCTTAGCTAATTATTTTGTAACACTAAATTAAAATGTTGACTGCAAACATGCACCTTTAGTGATATAAAAGTCAAGGCACAAGTAAAATGCTTTGATGCTTTTGCAAATTCCCTGCTGCCCCAAATCTGGATCTCAGATGTTTGAACAATGGCATTGTTTATGTAATAACATTTAAAACTATATATGTGGTTGAGTTCATTTCAGCAAATCATGTGGCTTCACCATGCAAATATTAATCTGCTGCAAATGGATGCAAATTAAAATCTGTTTCTGACAAGTGATGAAATAAAAGGATCTAACCCGCCCCATGAGGAAAGGCGCATGCTCAGTGCACACAGGTGGCTCCACCTGAAAATTGTTGCTCGGCTTAAGGATGCACTTTGAGAGCAGACCTAAAGGATGCTCTGTCATGAATATAAAAGGAAATAAACTACAACAATAACATCCATCATTTGATTGCTCTTGACCAGCACAAGTTCACTGAATTGTAAGTAATTTTGAGCTTTTATATTTCGTTCTTAGCCATATTTCCACATGGTTTTGGTAAGAACAACTGACAGCAAATGTCAGATTTTATTAATAGAGGCTGTATTTATTTTCTAAAAGACATTAGGAACAAAAACATACATTTTCACATTTAAGAAAAAGAGGAAAACCCCTATACATATTACATTCTTACAAACAGCTTACAAACCTGTAAGCTTTATAGGTTGATGCTCTGTGTCCAGGCGAGAACAGATAATAACCCCCACTGCACTATCACCAAGGAGACGAACCCCAGAGCGTTGACTGATGTTTGGAAAATCCTATGATCTAGTGTCACCTCAGTGCTTTGTGTTCTGGATGGTGTAAAACAAATATCAGTGAAACATTCATTCTTATCCTCGTGTTATTTTTTTTGTGTGCAGGTGTGTCTGAATTGTAAAGGCAGAAATGGGAAAGTGCTGCAAGTGCAACGGGAGACTGCTGTGCTTGTGTTTGCTGCCTTGCATGATGACCGGCCACCTTGTGATTTACATCTCGGTGTCCATATTTGTTACCATCTCTTACGCGCCTCCAAAAATAATCATTCACTATATTGCTCCAGGGATTTCGGAAAACTCTTCCGCGTCCGCTTCTTACCCACTTGGCCCTTTCTGGAACCTTCGCTTGGAAGACAGCGCACTGTGGAACCAGTTGCAGCATGCTTGGGATCGTCAGTACAATCCAATATTGAAAGGAAACACATCTGGGGTAATGAGGAAGCCAAAAGCTAAGCTTTTGTCTGAAATTGAGGACGAGTGCTTGTCTGACTGCATGTCATACAAGTGTTCTGTCCCTCATATGCATAATTTAAACAGTTTGCCAGAACAAATCAGGGAATTTATCAGGTCAATGCACTGCAGGGAGTACCCACTCCTTATCAACCAGCCTGGTATGTGCAGGAGGAATGATGCTAGCTTTGGAATAGAGTCTCCTATGCTCCTTATGGCAATCAAATCTCAAGTTGGGAACTTTGAAAACCGCCAAGCCATACGTGAAACATGGGGGCGCAGTGGTCTGGCAAGGGGTGAATCAAATAGGAAATGGGTACTAGTGCGCACAGTTTTTCTGCTTGGTAGGCAGGATTCAAGCACAGGTCCTCACCCAGACCTGCAAAACCTCCTGGAGCTTGAAAACCAGAAGTATGGCGATATTCTTCAGTGGGATTTCAGAGACACATTCTTCAATTTGACCCTAAAGGACTTGCTGCTTTGGCGATGGCTCCAGCAGTACTGCCCCACTCCTGCTTTTGTCTTCAAAGGCGATGACGATGTCTTTGTCCGAACGGACGCCCTTCTAGACTACCTGCACAAGAAGAGGGACGAGCACAATCTGTGGAGGGCCTATACCAATGAAACAGACATGGATTTGTTTGTTGGGGACGTGATCAGTAACGCAATGCCAAACCGGGAGCCATCTGCTAAATATTACATCCCAGAAAGTTTCTACAAAGGTACGTATCCGCCTTACGCTGGTGGAGGAGGGGTGGTGTATTCTGGCTCACTTGCATTGCGTTTCAAAGAGGTTTCAGAGAGGGTCCGTCTTTTCCCGATTGACGACGTGTATCTTGGGATGTGCATGCACAGACTCGGGCTGTCTCCGAGCCATCACCCGGGATTTTTAACATTCGACCTCCCTGTTACAGAGAGGGACAATCCCTGCGCGTACAGATCCGTTCTGCTTGTTCACAGACGGAGTCCAAAGGAGATGCTGACTCTGTGGAAAAAGCTCCAAAACCTTCGCAGTCAATGCTGATGCTTATTTGCTAAACAAATAGGATTCATTAGGGGATAGATGACTGCTCTCACCACAGTAATTTGAAATAAATAAATAAAATGTACACACTGTCAACATCCTCGTGCTAAAACACACCGTGTTAAGGTCACAGATTACCTCGAGAATTATTTCACTTAGAAGTAGAAATTGATCTACCTCAAAAGGTCCTGTTTTAACAAGATTTTTACAAAATAAGGACACATACAGTTTTTTTTGTTTGTTTGTTTTTACTGTACAGGTATGAATGTGCAGTTTTTAAACAAAATTTAGTTTTACAATCAGAAAAATACAATACACTGTATATGTGAACATAACACTTAAAATAATATAGTTAGTTTCCAGATTCATTTGTTGTTATTTTTATTATTGGAGACCGCTTACTAAGGCAGCACCTATTATTATCCACCTGACAAAAGGTTTCTTAACTTTATATCTAACTCTTCCATCAACTTTAATGTGGCCCGAACTTCAATGTGTACCCCCACAAATGTATCAAAACGACCGGCTTGGCACCGTGATGTGCGCCATTACTTTTAATGGTGTTTTGAGTTACCATGGCGACATAAGTTGTAAACAAATAGACCATTTCTAGTAGTCATTTTTCATAGACTCTGCTTGCAAATCAAATATCCAAGATGGCCACCTGAGCTAAAAAGGAAAAATACAGTAAATCAGCCATTTGTAGAGATTTTAAGCTGGAATTTGGTGTGGTGGTAGCTCAGACCAATGTTCAATACATAATGAATTTAAAAAATCAAGATGGCTGCCAAAGCTACATTTAAATGGCTTTAACTCAGCTATTTTTACACGTAAAGCTGAAATTTGGTGTGGTTATTGCTGAGAACCTTCCCCATCACATACTGGATCCAAATCAAAAAATCCAAGATGGACACCATGGGTTAAAATAAATAAATTACTTTAACTCATTGGTATTTTGCCATTTTAAGCTGAAATTTTGTATATTTGTAGCTAACACCCCAACACATAGTAATGTCAAAAAAAAAAAAAAAAAAAATGGCTGCCATGTGGCAGTCCCTGTCAAAGTTTCTCCAGGAACTTAATTAGTTTAAAACTTCAAGGTTTTCAGATCCAAGCAAATATTTCCATAGAGTCATTTGTAAACTGTAAATTGCAACTCATTTGTACGTAGATTTTTGTTTTACATTTACCTTTTAACATTTGACTTTAGTTTTTAATTGAATTTTTATTTTAAATAAATCAGGTCTCTCTTGTAAATGAGTCCCCGAGGCTCAATGGGATTAACCTGTATAAATGAAGGTTGAATTCATTTTATAAAGGTTGCGTTAAAAAAAAAATAATAATTCTTAGGATTTTAGAATAATAACAATTAGAAGAAGCTCAAGATAAGTGCAGATTTGTGTCTAAAAAATAAATAGCTTTGACTCTGGAACAATACAGTATACGTTTTAATATATAATTTGAGAATTGTTGTCATGGAGTGTTGTTTCTCATGATAAATAAATAAAACTGTCCCACATCAGTGGTGTAGGGAAGAACACAAGAATACAAAAATAAACCACAAAAAGGAAAGAAAACACACCAAAGATGAGTCTTATATGTTCACATCTTCTTTCCTTCTCTTCTATTCTGGTCATCCTATTAAATTTCATACATGTCTAGCCTTAAGCATCGATCTTGATACTAATACGCAGACAGTGGCTTTGGAGTACAGCATGTGCAGCAGATAAATCCATCTGACGACCACTAAAGGGTCAGTACTTACTGAACTGATGGACGATTAGTAGAAAACTGAGAACAAGAGAGCAGACACTCTGCTTTTACACTATGAGCGCATAGTTTGTTATATCTGTGAAGCTGTTTCAACATTTAGTGTAATGACCTGAATAAAAAGTCAAAATATATAGTTATTAGGAAAAAAAACTGAACATATTTGAACTAATCCATATTGAGAATTATGATAACATTTGACTGATGCAAGTGTAAAATATTTCATGAAAGCCCTAGACTAGTCAATAAATGAAAAATGTTCAGATTACAGCACCATCAAAAGGATATTTGTGATAAAACAACATCATCTAAATGTAATAGAGTGCATTTATTAGAACACGGTGATCAATACATGGTTGGCTTTATTGTAAAATAAATGTAAAAAAAACAAACAAGGTTAGATTATTATATTTCAACAAAGAAGAATAAGAAAAAAAAGATATATATATATATATATATTTTCTTTTACTAATGTGTGAAATGTTTAAATTTAACACATTAAAATAAATTTAATTATGATTAGTATTATAATGAATAGGCAGGATAATTTGTTGTGACATCAGTTTGTAGGCTCTCAGTTAAAATATATTCTATTCCCCTTTGTTGAATTAGAAGCCAGTGTAACTTTTTTATAAGCACGTAAATAAGAATTAGCACATAAAAAAAATAAAAAAAATTGCTGAAAGCAAAAGCATAAAAAATTAAAAGAATGAATGGGACAAAAACAACATTGGAGGAACAGCACCACCTACAGGACATTTGTAGAACTTTCCAGACACATCTGGAAGAGTCTGACCTTGTAGAACTTTCCAGACACATCTGGAAGATTCTGACCTTGTAGAACTTTCCAGACACATCTGGAAGATTCTGACTTGTTTTAATAGATTTTTGAGCAAACGTGAAAACATTGACTGAAATAATTTCTGACATTTTGAAATGTTTTCGTTTTTAATCAGTGATTTTGTTGATGAACTGATGCTTTTTACTGTTAAGATTTTGTACATGCTGAGTTTAAATAAACTATTAAAAAGTATGTTTTGCTTTTATTCATTTATTTATTGTTACGATTATTTGCTTTTAATGTCAGTCCCTTTTGCTTCATGTGAATTAAAGCATACATTTAACTAAAGATTTCAAAATGCAACATTAAATTGTAAAGATCGAAGTGTCACCTCTAGGCACTGAAATACCCTGTGAACTGTTTGAAATATCATCAATTAATGGGTAAAACATTTCAATCATTAATGTTATATTGAATGTGGGGGTCGCTACAGTGAACAAACTCATAGCAGAGATTTGGCCCTTGTTTTAGAGTGGATGTAATTTTTTTGCACAACCTGGATTTGAACCTGCAACCTCTGCATTTAAAGTCTTCAGCCCAGACCACCAAGATGCCCAGCCTCCTCTGTACTGCTTGTAGAGGGACATAATGTTGCAGCAAAGATTTACACATGTCCCAGATTACTTCTGTTTTGTGTTGATGGATTAAAAAAACACCTAAGTACTTTGAGGACCTTTTGTAATACTTGTACTTTTAAAATGTTATTTTCTCAAAGTTTAAGACATTCACTGTGATGCGGGTGAAAATTTATGCAAACACTAAAGTTATGTTAAATTTTGTTTGTATTTTGAAGAAATAAATCACGTTTATATTAAAGATGGTTTATTTAACAATGTTTTATTAAAAAAAAAAAAAGACCTAATTTAATGGACCGACTGTGGTATTGAGATAATAAATCATACTAACATAAATACATTTTTAAGCAACAGATTTATTTTTATTTCCCCCCCCCCCCCCCCCGTCAGATACAGTATCATTCATGTGACATTTCCTGGTTTTGTTTTTGTTCTTGAGCCCATATGAATAAAATTACATAAATAAGGTGCTTTTTGTACCATTATCAGGACAATCATAAAATATGAAATCCGCTAAGAAAAAAAAAATAACAAATGCAGTTTTTCCATTAGGTTTATTCACATTTACATTTGTAGAAACATTGGAATATTTTCTTAAAAAAAATAAAAATAATAATCACACAAAAAACATTATAAACGATCACAACAAGACATGAATCCTGTTTCCAGGTTTGCTCTATGATCTGTCAGGTGTCT